CAGAATGTCAGAAGTGGTGAACTTTTTACACTGAACTTGACAGTTCAAGTAACATTCTATACAACTGTAGTCACCTGGGACACTGACAAGTCTTGGATATCTCCTTTTTCTGTAGGAAGCACTAGTTGTGTTTTTAATATGGTCTTCCACAGTGTTCTATGGCTAACATGCAAAGACGAAAGCACAGATTGCTCTGTGGATCACTGTGCAAAGGTAAGTACTGTAGGTTTCATGTAGATACAGAGGATAGTTCTCATGACATGGAGTTCTTTTATCTTCTTCTGTATGTTGCCACTATTTAGAAAGCATTCTGTTTATACAGAGACTGAAATAAACTGTGAAAAAATTGAAAAAAAAATATGTATGGAGCTTTTGCAATGTTAGTATTTCATAACATTTTGAAGTTTTGCCTTCACCTTTACAAGTGATCACACAGCCAGGGAGAAAATGAGTAACTTGATGAAAATCAGCTTATTTTTATTCAAAAAAGGAAAATCTAAGAACCACAATACTCCCTAACTTACAGAACCATAACCAATTTATCTCCCTCTACAAACATTCTATATATTGTGTTTAATTACTCCGAGAAAAAAACCTTGCTGTTGGTGCTGCTTGGAGGTTCTTCAACTCACCACATGCTCTCCAGAATCCAGCTCCACTGGGTTCTGTGAGCAGCTGTGCACTTCTCTCCTGAAGCAGCCTTGCCTCAAGGGACTTTCATCCACCTATTCCTGCTATCATTAAGATGGGGCTTATATGTCTGTATATAAGTTTATATGCTGTTCCTTACTCCACATGTTACTTCCTTTTTTGTATTAGTTCCAGTTTCAATTTCCAATCATTAAGTCTATCTTCTTTATTCTCCTTTTATCTTTCCTTGGGACGGTGAAGGGGAGGTACCCTCTGGTTTGTGGTTTGCTCTGACTTTTAAACCAGGACACCATTCTCTCCCCAGCCTGTATTTGTGCCTGGGCTTGTGCTGATCCAGGTGAAGGACCCTGCACTCAGCCTCGTTGAACTTCATGAGGTTGGTACTGGTACCCCTCTCCAGCCTGTCAAGGTCCATCTGGATGATGTCCCTTCCCTCTAGGGTGTCAGCTACTCCACACAGCTTGTTATCATCAGCAGACTTGCTAAGGATACACTCAATCCCACTATCTATGTCTGCAACAAAGATGTTGAACAGAACTGGTCCCAATACTGACCCCTGAAGAACACTACTCATCATCTGCCTCCACTCGGGATACTGAACCATTGACCACAACTCTCTGGGTGTGGCCATCCAACCAATTTCTTATCCATTGAGTGGTCCATCTGTCAAATCCATTTTTTTATCAGTTTGGAGACCAGGATGTCATGTGGGACAGTGTCAAACGCCTTGCACAAATCCAGGTAGATGTCACTTGCTCTTCAACTATCCACCATTTCTGTAGCCTTGTCATAGAAGGCCACCAAATTGGTCAGGCAGGATTTGCCCTTAGTGAAGCTATGTTGGCTGTCACTAATCACCTCCTTAATTTCCATTAGCAGACTTTCCAGGTGGATCTGCTCCATGATCTTGCCAGGCACAGAGGTGAGATTGGCCTGTAGTTCCCCAGGTCTTCCTTTTTCCCCTTTTTAAAAACAGGGGCTATGTTCCATTTTTTCTAGTCAGCAGAAACCTCACCAGACTGCCATGATCCCTCAGACATGATGGACAGAAGCTTAGCAACTGCATCCACAAGCTCCCTCAGGACCCGCATATGGACCCTATAAGGTCCCACAGACTTGTATACCTTCAGGTTCTTTGGATGGTCACAAACCTGTTCTCCTACACTGGAGGGTACTTCATTCTCCCAGTCACTGCTTTCACCCACTGTAGCCTTCATGATGAGGCTGGAGCACTTGCTAGAGAAGACTGATGCAACTAAGTCACTGAGAACCTCACCTTTCTGAATATCCTGCATAGCTAGACCCCCTCATTTCCTTCACAAAAGGACCTACATTTTCCTTGGTTGTCCTTTTCCTCCTAGTATACCTATAAAAGCTTTTCTTATTCTAAGGATTGTCTTTTTTTGAAACCACTGTCCTGTAGTCAAATTAGACCACAAATGACCAACACACCACAAGTTCATAGGGAATAAAACTAAGGAAGGGTGTGGATGAGCAAGCAAATAGACAGTCTGATATATATGCCTGTTGTGATGGCATAAGACTACTTGTGCAATGAATAGTGATTGACAGACTCTTTAGAAAACAAAAAATATTCCTTCTTGGAAAACTTCCTCAGCACCAAGTTACCAAGTCTATGACATGCTTCCTCTAGTTCTCTGCATCTTGGCTTCTATATTGAATCTTGACATCCAGACAATGGGATGTACTGAAGAGAAAAAACAGAAAAATGTTCTACTTTTCTAGCTCACAGTCTGGCAGATAATTTTTTCATAGATAAGAGAAGTGGTTTACATTTTCAAAAGCACAAGAATCAGTCCTCCCTCACTGGTCTGTGTACAAAACTATTGTATAATAGGAGGCACTGCAGTCACCCTACTTGGTCTTTGCTGTTTGCCATGGATGAATTTGCTGAGGAGACTCCACCTGCTACCACTGATGAGACCTACTCTACAAATGCCTACTTGATTGAGACCCTCTGCAGACTTTGAATGAACAATTTAGTTAGGAATATCAACCACAATTCAACTAAGTGCTACTCAGCTTTAGCCTTTAGGAGGTTGCAGTGCTTCTGTGAATATTCAAAAGCAAAATTTCTTGCACCTGGGAAACTTACGTTAAAAGGAGCTGGTCTCTAAACAGCAGCTGACTGTTTTTTTCAATGACCACATTTAAAAATAGGATGGAATAAAATATATCATACAAAAAAATTGCATAGCTGACCTACCCAGAGTCCATATTTCATTACTATTAAATACTAGTAACATTCTTCTAACATAGCTTTCTGAGTGTTACTTGCTGAGATTTTTAAAAAAGCAAACAGAAATAAAGAAGTTTCTCATACAGCCTCAAACACCCATGGTAATTATCAATCAAGTTAAAACCTTTACATCTATCACATACTTGTGGCAGCTGACGTAATGGTAGTTGCTTGCTATACTGCAGGGACAAACTTTGAAGTGACAGATTTTGGCAGGGTGTTTTAGCTGTATTAGACAGCGGCAGAAACCTATTGAGGTCTTTTAATGTTTACTGCTCTCTTATCAGCTCCCCCGCCCAGACCTGCTTTGCCACAGCAGGTTTATGTAAGCACTAGAAGCAAATGATCCACCAACCCATGAAACCTATGGTTCAAGTGGGCATTATCTGGCTTTACCTAAATGACATATGCAAAATTTTTTCTCTCGTTCTTCCATTTCTGATAGAAATAAAGCATGATCAGTTGTTGTTCAGGTGGTAGAAGCCAGAAAGGACTGAAACATTGCCACTGCTCAACAGGATTGGTGCAAATACAGGCTGATCAGGCAAAAAAGCTGTGATAAGGTCAAATACACTCCACAAAAATAGTCCTCAGAAGGAGTAATAGGAATAATGGAAAAAATCATCACTGAACATTCCTCAAAATGTGTTAGGTTTAAAAGGCACTGTAACATGGTGAAATCTCTCATATTTTCAAGGAGCTGAAGACATATGCCCAAATAATAATTTTAGGTCAGGGGAAAAAACCACAATTAAAACCTTGTGTTTTTTTTAACAGAAGTAACAAATCCTGAATAAAACTTACACCAAATCAGACACCTAGCATTTTAAGGTGAAAGCATTAAAAGTCTGAAACATCTACAATTAACTGAAGACAATAAAACACAAAACAATGTAGGTAAGCTGAATACTGAGAACATATCAAGAACCTAACCTGAATTTCTTGAACTGGAGAGTACGTCTTTTAACACTCTCCTGCAGAATTCATCAGGAGAGGGTGAAGTAGGATGACAAAGGGGGAAAAATTGCCAACAAAGATAAACCACCACAATTTTCTGTCTTTTCTTGACTAGTGCTTATTGCCAAGACACACAATTTCATGACAACACCACTGGAAGGAAATGCAGTCTTAAAATCATGTACATTATAATTTTTAACCACTGGTAAAAAGACATTGGTCAGCATAGCTCAGTTTTCCTTATGTAAAAAGTAAATCATCACAACTCTGCAATAATGATCATAATAATGCATTCAGAATTCTAAAACAATTGTCTAGATTAGTGATAGGATGAGATAGTGTCTTACATAAAGTCACATCAGTGCTCCCACTATGATAGTTTTTACTGTCCTCTCTACATGAACTGCAATGGTATCCATTAAAACTGGATAAAGTGCTTTCAAAGTAGGTTCCACCGATCAGAAAGAAAATAGGGGCACATAAAGGGTACAAATCCACCGGTACTTCCAGAAATGAAGGCCAAAGCTAGGTGGGGGCCAGAAGGATGCACCTGTTTTCAAATTACTGCCCTTTCCCAGAAGAAAGGTAGGTATCTTAAGTGACAATGATTTATACATAAAATAAGTCAAAAAAGTTTAATAGTACAAAGACCTCCTCAAACATTTTTCATTATGTAACTTTCATTCCTCTTGAATATATGGAAAGCCAGTCAATCAGCTATCCTAATAGGAACAAGGTTTTTGACTCCACAAAGCTTAAAAAAATGTTGATACAGAAAAAGATCTTTTCACAGCTATACTTCAGTTTTTAAACTCTTTACAACCAATTTACTTGCAGCATGAGAATAGAATTTGAATCCTAAATTATCAGAAATGTGTCAAAGTAGATCACTACTTTTGACTTTGATTAAAGACATAATACAAAAGTGCTTCTCCCTATAAATAAGAAATTTTTTAAAAATTCATTTTTCGTAACTAATACAAGCAATAAACTGTAGAAGTGCCATGATCCTTAATAGAAATACATACATAAGCAGAAATTCATAAACAACAATCCAAAATCAAATACCAAGAACATGTGTTACTTAGTTATAAACTAAGTAACCATGGTAATAAAAGCAAAACAACCATACCTGCACCTGGAATGATTGCCAACTTTGTTTCAACTAGGCCCATTTTAGCAGACGAGGCTAAAAAACAGAATGTAAATGAGTTGTTACTATAATCTGTAGGAAAAAAAAAACCTTTGCAAATATGTAATAATGAACTACAAAATCATTTTTTTATTACATTTCCTTCACAAAGAACAATAAATCACTTTAAAAGCATTTGTTTATTAAACTCTTCTAATAGATTCAACTGATCAGCCTTAGTAAAAGATCCAACTATTCCCATCAAGGCAAGCTCGTTTTCATATAACATGTAAGCAATTACCGTCAGTAACAGAGACTTATTTGCAAAATTTAAAATACTAAAGGGCTGTTATCATTTAACTTCATAAAACAAGTTAGAATTCTGTATCTGATAATTACAAACTCTTTAAGCTGACGGATTACTCTCTAAGAACAAACAGCTTTATATACCCTAAGTTACTGGCAACTGTTCAAGTCCTAGTTTCCATTTACTTTCCAACAAATGGCTTTAGAGTTCTTACAGCTGGATAGGTCAAGGTTCCTTTTTTCAAGTGCTGTTGTAACTTTTTAGGTATAACAGCTTAATTGCTTGTGTAGTAATACTCTCACTAATAACTATTGCTGTTCCCCTGCAACCTGTTAGGATAAAATCACATCTCCATCTAGAACCCTTCAAATACAGAAGATGAGAATACTTCAATCACTAAATAAAATACAAGAACAACTAAACAACCCTCCCAGCAAAACTGGTAAAATTAAGGTCAGAAGAAGAAAATAAAATACAATATGTAACAAAACCAATCCAGTTATCAGTGATAAGGTGTTTGAAATTAAACATTATCAAGTACTTACACAGGTTTCTGATAGCTTCCTTTAAAACTATTTATTATAAACAATGCCACATACAAAATAAGTTTGTAAGGCTGTTGCCAAAACAAGGATTAGTCAAGCCATCTGAAATACTAATAATCCTGTGTTTTATACACAGGATTCAGACCTACCTGCCACTCTTATATCACAGGCTAAAGCAAGTTCTAGGCCACCACCTAATGCAGCTCCATCTATTGCAGCAATAGTAGGTACAGGCAGATTAGCTGAAACAGAAAAGTACCAATTAACACCAGCCTCATAAAGAACATCTCCAAAATACCATTTCATTACATTTTGTTGAAAGTATAGTCATGCTATGGTAAACCAACCAAGTGGGACTACAAATTGCAAACTAAAAATCAGCAACACTTCGCAAAAAACCCCAGCCTTCTCTCTAATCTCTCGTGTCTGCTCACTTCTGACAAAAATCTGAATAGTAAACTACAAAAAAATAGATCACAGAGTTACAAACAATAAAACAGGAGTGCTTAAAAAAAGGCGTGTACACAAAGTGTCACAGCTGAAAAGCATGTCTTATCATAATAATCTGTGTTGCTAGCATAGCTGGAAGCTCTTCAACTCTTAATATTCTCAGACATGGTGTGGCTGCCACTGTTGTGCCTTTTCTCCTGTAAAGAAGAAAACAGCTTAATGGAATGTGGGCAAGTTTTGAGTTTGAAAACTGATGCAATTCCTGCTAGTACACATGACAAGTAGCAGGGCTCCAGACCCCTGTGTTACCACAGCATAGTCTGTACTTTATCATCACTGTTCTGACATGGGAAGTAATTTAAACATTCAGCTTAAAGTACTGCTCTTCACCTCCAAAAAGTTCTCTTCTTCCACACACTCAAATAAGTTTGATGAATTATTAATTATTTTTTTTTAACATAGAAATGAAGTTATACATTACAGCTTTAATTACATTTAACATAACGTTTACCAGAAGCCATCAATAATTCTAAACTATACTCAAACAATGTATAAGTAGTACATTTTTGCACTAAAGTTTTGAAGATAGTCAAAATCAATTAACTAGCTGAACACTTGGGTGTAAAGCTTGTTGAAACCAACTCTTGACAGAAATGGGGGTTTTTTTCATTTTTCCTGCAGATGTAAAAAATATTTTTTCTTTTAATGTTCCAGCTACTTGAATTCAATTACCAGCTCACTCAGACTTAGCAGGAAATCAAAAAACAACAACAACAAAAAAAAAGTTGTTGCAAAAATATCAGTGAAAATAAGGTGTGAGAGAATGTTCTTTCCTTTTAAAAATGTAGAAAGTTAATGTGATAAAAAATTATTTACTGTACCAAATACAAATAACATTTCCTTTCCTTAGGGAATGAGTTAGTTCTAAAGTCAGAAGTTGTGCTATCTAGATTACCTTTTTCCTTTCTGATAGGGAGACTCCAGATAACTTCATTTTAAAAAAAAAAAAACAACAATTATATGTTCATGTGTATCAACATGAATAAATCTGTATATAAACAGGTAGTCTCTCACTGGGTAAGAAAAGAAAATATCAAATTAAATGAAACGCTATTTTTAGGTGCAAATCAACATCCCTTTATGATTAACAACTAATTAAAATTCAATTGTCTTTAAGAACAAAAATTTACCAATGCTATTCAAGATTACAACAGATGCTTCAAATCAAAGACGTTTGGTTGCTGATTTAGATCACAATTAACAGTTATTATCTGAATCAATTCCAATATCAAAACAGACTACTGATTACTCTCTGCAACATCAAGCACTTGCAGTCAGTTGAGAGAACCGAAGGTATCCATTATATTTGTGATATACCACAGAAGGTATAGGAAACAGGAATAGATACGAGTAAAATCTGCTCTATTTACTTTTTCTTAGTTATATGGGAAGGCAAGAAAAGAAGGTATCTCTTATTTTCAGCAGGGCCGGATTGCTAAGCAAAACTCCTAGCTCTGTCACCTTAACTGATTTGCCAGTCTTACAACTCAAGTTTAGGGTTGATTCAGCTAGCAATTAATTATCTTAAAAGGAATTTGCCTTTGCCATAGGTGAATGAAGAATAATCTGCCTGAACACAAAGGTGTGATCATTATTAACTGTAGTTTCCAGCAGTTACTGCCTACATGCATGCTGCATTTCTCAGAGACTAACAAACAGTATCTGGAGCGCTATTTACACAACTTTTGAAGTACTTAAGGCAGGCTACCATCTCTATAAGTAACTTCAAGAATTAGCTATGGTACAATTCAAGCAGACTAGTATAGGACAAGAAAACAGCTTGGTTTCAAGAATTACAGCCTGCATTCCAATCAAGACATACTGAAATTCGTAATTCAAAGGGACTAAAAGCAGTCTGACAACGTATTAGAATCATCACTTCCCAAAGATATTAAAGTGAAGGGATCTCCTAATGTGGAAGTTGACAATGAATGAAAGACAAAATTCAGATTCTTTACAATAGTTCTGTACATACAGATCTTTAAATTAATCCTCTTAACATGTTCTAGTGAAGCATAAGAAAAAGTAACACAGAAATAAATTAGCAATCGCTCTGCATTGTAAACTGACTGCCAGAGTCACTAGAACTCATTACCAAGGAAAAGGCTTCTTGGTATATTCATATTTTGTAGTAAAAGAGACATTTGCTTATGTTTATCTCCATAATTCTAATACACAACTACCAGGACTGTTTAGCTCATAGGAAAAACGAAGATCATGTGTGACAAATCATGCCCTGTAGACTTAACTGAGTTATATGCACTCAAATTTTAAGTACAACAAATTATGTAAATAGCCAGTCCAACATCCAAAATAACTCTACATGGTAAGGCTCATTTGCTATGAGTGACAGAAAACAATACTTAAAGCTTGCCGAGAAGCCCAGTGATTTTATTCTCTTGCATTCCAAATTTTTGTCATAATGTAAATAAAAGATGAAAATTTCAGGCAATTGTAATACATATTAGTGGTAGATTCTAGATTTGATACATGCTTATCAATGTCAAATCATGAACTGCACAGTAAAGTTCACAAAATAAATTAGAAATAGATATATAAAAAACAAAATAATTAAACTAAAGTGTACAACACACAGGCAGGTCTAAACTATGTATATACACAGATAATATAAGTATTCAAAAAAAGACTAACTAATAAGCAGAATTTAATTGTAGCCAGATAATTGCATTGTAGTGTAGTACATCAAAGTATGGAATATGAAGCACACTAAATAATAAGCTAGTTCATCCAATGAGCTTTACAATAGTTCTGTGCATACAGATCTTTAAATTAAAATAAAGGATTACTTCACACATCTGTATTGTAAAACATTCTGCATATGCTGTACATACACTTCCATCTGGCATATAAAAGAAGAGTCCCGAGCAAAAGCTGATACTCATGTCCTAATATAGCATCAATGCTTAATATTACACAGATAAAGAAGGTTCTAAGAGCAGTAAAGATAAAGAAGGGCCCATTTCAGTGTATGTTAGTCCTACGTCAGCATCAGAGCTGGACAGAAGACAAAAAAGCATTTCTGTATTTGAGGTGACAGAAGTAGAAACACATCTGGAACTAGCTGAAGAGGAGATAAACATGAACAAGAATATAAAAATAGTTTTTATGTATTACAGGAATAACCTGTTCTGACAGAAGGTGTTAATTTAACAACAAAAAGATGCATATTTGCCATTCAAAACATGACAGATTGTAGTGACAAACAAGTAAACTGAAGAACTACGAAATTAATGGCATGCAAAAAACTTCAAGAAGAGAAACTAGACATAATAACATTATACAGCTAATTAGGTCCAATAAACCCAAAAAAAAGCTCAAACAAAAGTTAGAAAATATGATATACAGCAAAATAAAGAAAACAGGTCCATTACTACACTGTAGTAACTGTGGTTCTTCAATTTCAGGAATATATTCCTGGTAAATACATATGTTACATGTAGGTTTAGACTAGGCTGACTAAGCAGCATCTTGCAGTCTTGGGCTGTCTCCTACTTTCCTGTGATTCCTCATTACTGAAAGACATAAAGAGTAGAGTAAGATAAACTCTCTCATAATTTTATCATCAGTACAGAATGTCACAGGAGAAGAACTCTGAATTTCAGCATATAAAAACACATGCAATGTGTGGGAAGCAACCTCAAAGAATCGCAACTGTTTTGACACAGGTAATTGTTACTCTATCTTTAAGTGACTTTTCATGTAATACCCACTGCTGGTGACTAACTAGGGACTTACTTTCTGATTAGAGATTATTATGTGATTAATGAAAGACCAGCATATGAATACAGGCTCCAGGTCTGTAGAATCTGAACAAGAAGTGGTTCTCAGATGTGTGCCACAAAGTCCACACAGCCAATTCATATATTGTGGACACTGATATTCCCCAAACAGAAACTAGACATTACCTGGATTCTAGCAACCTGAATCATATGTAACTATTCAATCATCTGACTAATTTATTTTAAAAATTCTTGTAAAATTACAGCTATGTAAGAGGAACCTGTATTACACTTGACACTTTCTTAGTAACTATCAAACAGCCTTCTTCTGCTCCTGCACAACCCCACTTCCTCACTATTGACAAGACAACGAAACGGCATGATCAACTAGGTAAAAAAAACTTTTTGCAGATATTGAGGAAGAAGGAAGAGAGAAGCATGAAGAATGAATAAAATAAAACCAATAAAAACAAAATGGCAACAATTTACACAAGATTAGTCTTGCCCTTATGAAACTTTACATACATTAGACTTTAGGTAACAGGCAATAAACACATTCTTCAGGCAGTGTCCAAGGGCTCAACAGAAGACCTCTCACTATTCCTAGTTACTTACTGAGAGTTCCTGAAATGGGCAGAGGAAGAATAATATGGTTATCCATAATTCCAGACTTTGTGATTTGTGTTTTTGGTCTACCTACATCAACTTGTCCAGACTGATAAACTTAAAATACATGACAATCAGAAAAGCAAGTTACTGATTTAAAATGTAACAAATCCAAAGAGACTGACCTAACAGTGGCTCCTCTGCTTGCTACATAAATTTATACCTTCAATATTTCCTGTTAGGAACTAGACCACATATTTGTACAAAAAGAAGAAACATTCTCGATCTATTAATGAAATTTTGGTATCTATGCTGTTCGGGTGTCAATGAGATTTCTATGAGAATGATACACTTGTAGCTTGACAGCATTTTCAACAATTAACCTGGAAAACACCTTTAGTATTCCCCTCCTATAGCCAGAATATAGGAAAAATCATTAAAGAACTGAAACTCCAGCAGACTTAGAATTCAGTTTCTCTAAAAGCAAAAGGTCTGCACTGTTACTGCAGCAATAGTGAATCAGAAGAAAACACTCCATGGAAGCCCCTAAAAATGCACTCATTTCATATGGTCCCTTAGATAAAAGTAACTTTTATTTCTGAAGTAGTCTGTTACAGTTTAGAACAAGTATTTTTAATTCAACTATCCACAGCAGTCAGCAATTGGGATTCAGGAACATGCAAATAAATCCTTTTCAAGCAGTGGATATGAAACATGAAAATTAAAGACAGTCATCTTAACTCCCCTCACTATTCCTCTGTTGACCTCCTATACCTGGACAACGTTAAAAAACATTATTCTTCATCTCCCTTCTCACTTCAGTGACCTCTGGCTATCAGCCTTCAGAAAGAAGAGTTATTCCAATGTAAATCAGAAGCTAGTCACTACCTTTGGTATCTATCTACTGAATCAGATTCATCAGCCTGACTTACCTTTAACAACCAACAGGACAACCAACGGCCTAAGAATTCTTCTTTTCAGCACTGACTGAAAAGGAAGTAGTGGGAGTATGCCTCTCTAAAACTGTGAGTCTCCAACTAAGATAGGAGTAGGAAAATAATTCTAATTTACCAAATTTACATGACAGCACAACTAAGTTCCCACAGAATGGAGAAACAGACTGCCCAAGCTATTTATGCACCATGTGCATTTCTGATTATTAGGCAAATAAGTTTGATTAGTGCACAGCTTGCTAGGACAAGCAAATTCAGAAAGCATTTTTAGCAGCTCACTTTTCCTTCTGGATAATAGATTTCATTAAACATAGAACAAAAAAATATGCTGCACACTGTATTACATGGATTACTGGAGTAAAGTAAATTGAGAGATATAAAAAAAGTTCCACAAGAGATTAACTCAAGCAGATTAAGGAAGCATGGCAAATATCTGCTTATATATGCCTGCAGCACATGAGAACCCTTTAAATCTTCGAATGGTTGAAGTGGGAAGGTATCTCTGGAGGTTGTATTGTCCAACCCCTCTGCTCAAACAGCGTCACTTGGAGTAGGCTGCTCAAGCTCATGTCCAGAAGGCTTTTGGAGACCTCTGAGGAAGGAGACTCCACAACCTCCTGAGTAACCTCTGCCAGTATTCAGTAAACGTTACAGTAAATAATTGTTTCCTGATGTTCAAGGGAAATCTCCCATGTTCCAGTTTTGCTGATTGTCTCTGGTCCTGTCACTGGACACCACTGAACATACCCCATCTTAATCTTCTTAACACTCTACCTTTTAGACACTTTCATAAGTTGATAAGAGCAACACCTGAGAGCTCTGCTCCAGGCTAAACATACCTAGTTTGCTCAACCTTTCCTCAGAGTAGAGATGCTCCAGTCTATTTATAATCTTCATGACCCCTTCACTAGACGCTTTCTAGTAACTCCCATCGTTCACTTAAACTGAGGAGACCAGAACTGGACACAGTACTCCAGCACTGCTCTCACCAGTGCTGAGGAGAGGGGAAGAATCACATTGTTCTACCTACTGGTAACACTCCTTCTCATGCGTATCAAGATACCATTACCTTTCTTTGTCACACAGGCAAATCACAGAATCACAGAATGTTTGGGGTTGGAAGGGACCTTTGGCGATCACCTAGTCCAAGCCCCTTGCCAGAGCAGCATCCCTAGAGCAGATTACACAGGAAAATGCCCAGGCAGGTTTTGAGTGTCTCCAGGGATGTAGATTCCATAACCTCCCTGGGCAGTTTGTTGCAGTCCTCTGCTACCCTTACAGTAAAGAAGTATTTTCTCATATTTAACACAGGTTAAATCTCCTGTGTCCAGTTTGTGACCATTGCCCCTTGTTCTGTCACTAGACATCACTGAGAAGAGTCTGGTCCCATCCTCCTGACAGCCATCCTTTAGATATTTATAAGCACTGATGAGCCCCCTCTTCTCTAAGCTAAACAGACCCAGCTCCCTCAGCCTTTCCTCACAGGGCAGATGTCCAGTCCCTCAGTCATCTTAGTGGCCCTGTACTGGCCTCTCTCCAGTAGCTCCTTGTCTTTCTTGAACTGGGGAGCCCAGAACTGCACACAGTACTCCAGGTGAGGCCTCACCAGTGCTGAGAAGAGGGGGAGGAAAACCTCTCTCAGCCTGCTAGCCACACTTGACTTAATGCATCCCAAGATACCATTGGCTTCCTGGATGCAAGGGCATATTGCTGGCTCATAGTGAGCCTGTTGTCCACCATGACTCCCAAGTATTTTTCCCCTGAGCGGTGTTCCAGCAGGTTAACCCCTAGTGGTTGGTGTACTGGTATATGGGTGTGGGGAATAGCCCCTCTCACCCACATAAGACTATACAAAATGTCTTTCGGGACAAGCAAAATACATGGACAAAATGGCTGTTGCTCCCTGCCAGGCTAGAAAACCTTGCTGACAGTTCAAGGACAAACACAAGGACAGAGCTGCCTACCTGAGTGACAGGTTCATTTGCAGGAAAAGGGGAAACAGTGTTCCAAACTGCGCTTAGCAGCTCCTGCCCAGGCCTTGGAATCCTGGTTACAGCAATCTGATTGGCCACAGACTGAATGCAAATGAGGAAATGCATTGCAGCACTGACTGGGACAGTAGACTGCACACTGTAAAAGACAGTGTCTGCTAACCTCTCTTGCTGGAGGCTTGCTGCTGCTTGAGGCCAGTCACTCGCCTGCCAGTTCTTGCTGGACCTTTGTGAAGCTTGCACATAATTCGTCGGAGCTTGATGTTGGAATCATCTGGGAATTGCTTGTGGATGGAGATCAAATTTCTGGAAGGGTCACAAGAGGGATCACTGTACTTCGCCAGTGGATTTCCTACTGTTGAAGAGCAGGAAGGTTGCCACCCGTAAACATACTGCTGGAAAAGCGGGAAGGCTGCTGTCAACGGATCAATCGTTCACAGCGTTATGTCTCCACGTGCCACATAAAGCTAAAAGCCATTAATTTGTAAACTTAAACTTGGTGTCAATCACAGTTTGTGGGCATGGGGAGGGGTGTGTGTTTTAATTTCCACTCTAAGATTCAGCCTACCCGTGACTGATCCTCTGTGCCAGGTGACCACCACGCACAGCCTCAGTCCCTTAAAATAAGAACCTCTCAGTAAGAGAGTCACGTAACCATCCAGACTGTCCAGCTGCTCCTAGCAGACCCCGGACAATAAGAATGGGGTTGTTCTTCCTCATATGGAGTACTCAACACTTGTCTTTGTTGAATCTCTGAACATTTGTCTCTACCCAATTCTCCAGCCTCTCCATATCAGACTGCATAGCAGCACAGCCTTATTCTGTGTCAGCAACCCCTCCCAGTTTTGTATCCTCTGCAAACTTGCCCACAGTACACTCTGTCCCTTTGTCCAAGTCACTGAAGAATATACTGAACAGGGATGGTATACCCAGTACCGTCTTCTGGGGAACACCACTAGTCACAGGACTCCAGCTGGACTCAGCCTCACAGACCACAACTCTCTGGGCTCTGTCCTTTAGCCAGTTCCCAATTCATCTCACTACCCTATGGTCCAAACCACACTTCTTAAGTTTAGCTGTGAGAGCTAATGCCACAGGAGACAGTGTCAAAAGCCTTGCTGAGGTTGAGGCAGACCATATCAGCTGCCCTCCCCTTGTTTATCCATCTAGTTATGCCATCATAAAAGGCTATCAGACTGGTCAAGTGTGATTTCCCCTTGGTGAATCCATGCTGACTCCTCCTGATAACCCTCCTCTCCTCAATGTGTTTTAAGATGGCACTAAGAGGAAGCTGTTCCATCTACCTTCCAGGCCTGGAGGTAAGGCTGACCATCCTATAGTTATCAGGGTCCACCATCCTGGCTTTTTTGAAGAATGGGGTGATGCTGGCTTTCTGCCAGCCCTCAGGCACCTCTCCTGTCCCCCAGGACTTTTCAAAGATGATGGAGAGTGGCAGTCAGTAACCCTTCCTCCTCTGTATCCTCCATCTCTAGGACACCAACTTCGTTCCTCATTCCCTTTGGACTTCCTTTTTCCTCCAAAGTACTTGAAGAAACCTTTCTTGTTGTCCTTG